AGTCGCGCGACTCGGGCAATTACAGCAACTTACGAAAACACGCGTGATATTAATCCTTAATTTTACTCGGAACCATGTGATTACTTGTTTATAATATAGGGGGCAAAATGTTTTCTTACTGATCTCGCGCAAAACGGGACGCCATTGTTACAAAACACACAGAAATTTCTCTATAATCTGGATATATTCAACAAAGTTGAAATGGTAAATTGGCCATCGTAACGATTACAAAAGCTGACGTTTCGAGCGTTAGCCCTTCGTCGGAGCGTTAGCCCTTTCGAGCGTTAGCTATTCGCTCCGACGAAGGGCTAACGCTCGAGACGTCAGCTTTTGTAATCGTAACGGTGGCCAATTTACCATATTAACTTTGTTGATATATCGAAATAGTTACATGGGTAATAGTATGTTAAAGCTCCTCTTCAGGAGAAAGCAATATTTAGCATACGGGATCCTCAGGAAAGAGGTTCCTTTGTGAGCGAATTAGAGATGCCAGGACCTTGTTACTATGTTGCTCATGTCATTCTTTACCGTTAGCGTTGGTTGCGATTAATCTTATAGCGACATTTCAACATGTGCGTTGAAAGAGAATTTTTGAAAACCATTGAGTTGTTAGCATCTATTCATTGTGAAGAGCATTTTTTTAAGCGCAATTTCCAAAAATCTCATTTAAACTCACCGAGAGTGAAGATCTCGTACATGACCACACCAAAGCTCCACCTACAATTTACATTATGATAAAAATTCAAGACTGCTCAAATGTATTGCTCCTTTGGGATAAGAATTTAAGACTTGTTTACTGAAGGTGACACTAAACATGCCGTCACAAACTGATAAACTTGTGGTCCTTAAATTCAAACAAATTGAAGATAAACATTGTAAATAAACATATATATATATATATATAGTGTTTAAGAGTTCAATCTGGCAAGAGGCAGGCCAGTCAATCCTTAAAAAAAAAACACAATCAGCGAATTGAACTTGGGTAATCGAGACAAAATCCTGTGAATAGCAGGATGGAGGGCTTCAACCTGGGACCAGCATCGCAGCCCCACAGCCTCTTTGAACGTTCATATGCTGAACGAAGTTTAGCCAGCTTGTGAAAAACGCATACTAAGTCCTTTTGTTTGTTAATTCTTGCTTTAGAAAAGTAGATTCCCTAAAGTAGGGATCAGAAAGTGAAAAAGCAAGTTTTAAATAATTCTTTCCATGAATCTTGCTTGTTGTTAGCTGACATTTCCAAAGTCAGCCCCAACTCATTCACCCAGACGAAGAGCTAATGCTTGATACGTCAGCTCACAAATTCTTTACGGTGGCCAATTTACATTATCAACTCATTTGATAACACCCTTTTTTTTTTGTTATACTCCTCTGCCGACGTAGCACCTTTATGAAAAGAAAAGTTTATTCCTTTAATATTTTACATATTAACCGATACTTAGGAGATGGCGTGGCGGAGTGGTTAGGGTGCTATACTTGTAACCCGGTGTCCCGGGTTCAAGTCCTGCACCCTGCCACTCACTGGATTTGTTCTTGGTTGCCCCTAATTCAACTCCTCGGCTGCACTCTGTAAATAGCCCACTGATCTGAATCCTGCCATTGTGGCTAAAAAGCCCAAAAGGGGTAACTTCAATTGACGTAGTCATTTATTTATTATACTCCCTTATTCCAGTCCATCGTCATGTGTTCAAACGCTGAATATTATGGACTATTACAGAAATCTTATAATAATTATATTGTGGTGATATTTGCGCGTATGTTTATGTACAAAACAAACTTACACATCACTCTGTGTCGTGTATGCACCACTTCCAAATAGAGCTTCGGGTGCCGTCCATTTAATTGGAAGACGGCCCTAAAACCAAGGAAGGAAACCAAAGTGATTATGAAGGAGTTTTAAACAACATATCCATATTTCATTTCCATATTTAGAGCTGTATTTATGTCATGTTATATTCTCCGCTACCGCAAACATGCAGACTATGCGATAGCGTGTTTTTCACAAAATATATCAGTAAGTTCATTTCATGTTACCTTCTTTTACGACTTTGCTTTGTGGAGAAAAGAGAGACTGGGTTGAAAAGTGTTGTTAAATCACGCTGCTCAAATAGACTTCACCTCAAAATATGTCATAAACAATTACCTCATGGGTTCGGACATATATGTCCTCTTTCCAGACATCTCTGGCCATTCCAAAATCTGTGATTTTGCAAACGTCTTCGTCACCAACCAATACATTTCTCGCGGCCAAGTCACGATGAATGATCTAATGCCGAAACACAAATATGTGTTAACGTTTGAACGATTAGGATTTACATAGATATTCATATCATTCTATTCTTTTGTGCAGAAACTTAACAAAATAAACATTTGAAAGGAACTAAAGTATTTTTAAAGGGCGTCAATACCCCAGTAAACTAGATTCAAAGTACAACAGAAGGTGAAAATGTAACCTTTTTCTTGGACAAGTAGTCCATTCCATCACTGATCTGCCATGCGAACCGTAGGAGCTGCTTGGAGGTAAGGTCGGTGCGAGGTTCGAACGAGGGATCACTGTAATAGTTATCTCGAACTCCTCGGCTCTTCCTGAGAAACCCAAGCAAGTCACCATACTGCGCATACTCGACAACTACGAGGGGCCGGGCTGAATACAAGAAAGTTGGTTTGGTTACTGGTTATCAGCTTTGTCTCGATTTATTCATTACAAACTAACTAAAGGTAACCTGGTCATGCTCATTACCAACTAGACTTCCTTAAGAAGTCTTGGATAAGAGTCGCGTAGTAAGCCTAAATATGAACATGAAAACGATACATTCATTTAGCACATTTGTCTATCAGAAATTTCTCTTACGCGTTTACTACACCTTATCGGGGACTTTAACCAGACTCAAGAGCCCACGAAAGAGCTCCTGTCAGAATGCATTGTGCAGTTCACGATCTTTTTAACGAAACTTAGCAAGTCCCCCAACCTAGGGACATCTAAAAACAAATCTTATGCATTACGTTATTTTAAAGCACACAATAAGTCAAGATCTTTGAACACAAACCGCTGCCTAACCTTAGCACTTAGCACTCTTAGTTACAAACTGTAACTGACGCATAAACATGCTACAACGACGCAATAATCAAACCATTCGTTTCTAACATTAAAAGTGACGTCAACAGCGACACGGATTCATAAAACAAAGGGATTTTTAACAAGAAAGACTCTTGCACTCTAGCATCACTTTCGAATGCGTCGTTGACAGCAAACGGGTTCATAACACAAAACTACATTTGACAGCAAGTATGCGACTGCCTCAAGCTTACCTTCAGTAGTAACACAGCCGTACAGGCGAATGACGTGAGGGTGAGGATCAAGGTGTTTAAGGACTGACATCTCAGACAACAGGTCTCTCTTCTCTTTTTCAGAGGCATCCTCTTTATCAAAAACACCAACGGAAAAAAATTCAGGTTGAAAGTGGAATGATCAAACTTACAGTTTCTAACTTCTTTCCAGCACTCATTTCACCTAAAGTTCCTGATATCGACGTTGTTTGTATCAAAGCTCGATGGTTCCAAAGGCAAATGTATTTCTTGTTTTTTGTTTTGCTTTGTTTTTTTTTTTGGTTAATGAAAGAAAAAATAAGAAATGTAACCTTGAACGCTCTTCACTGCTACCACAGTCCATCCTGGTTTTCCCGGCAGGTCTAACGCCAAGCCTCGTGAGACCACGCCAAATGCACCACGTCCAATGACCTTCTCTACATTCAGACTTGCTCGTGGTAATTCCCATTCAGTGTCACCGAGGGAGGATAAGTTGCAAGCTCCATATGGAAAAGGCTCGTTACGTACGACTTGCAATCCCAAGGACTCCCTGAGGACAAATAACATCAGAGCTTAGGTTATATCTCAGCGATAATGCTTCGGATAGCGGCAGAGATAATGGGAAAAATATCTGGGATTGGACATAATCACGGGAAAACAACATTCCGCTTAAATATGTTGGTTCGCTTTTAGTCTACTTGTCCAAT